TTCCCCGTTTTTTTCATTTTTAAGCAGTTTTTTATCAGATTTTAATCTGGAAATTTGTTAACAAAACCCGTGATTTTTCTGGAACTAAAAAACCGGATTTTTTCCTGATTTTTGTTTTTTATTTTTTTTTACAGGGTTATGTCATATGGTAAAGGTAAATTTAATAATTTCCATTATCATAGACCAAGAATCCATAAAAGTCATATGATTATTTGTTTCGATTGCTGGAAACTCATAAAAATCGATGATGTGAATTCTAAAAAATCATTCCATTTTACTAGACAGAGATATATTAATCATTTCAAAACTAAAAATCTGATACAGGAACATTGGAATTACGAATGTAATAAATCAAAGACTAATTTTGAAAAAGCAAGAATTATACAATTAGCTTATCAAAATTATAAGAATAGATCCAAATAATTAGCAACTCAAGCTTGGAATGCAATGAGAAATGGTGGTACTTGATGATGAAAATTTCTAGATTTAACAAAACATAAAGTGAAAAATCCTCAGACTCCAAAACAATTTAATCAATGGCGTACTAAATGGATGGAACTTTATAAACAATCTAATTTGAGAATTCCTTTGGATATTTATATAAGAGAATATGAAGAATATTATATTCCAGTTAATTGAATAGATTCTAAAAAGAGTCAATTGCAGGTTAGATTCCAAAAGTGACTTTTAGAAATAGGAGCATAGTACTTTAGACTTTATTTCGTTATCCCCAAGGGCTGGTAACATTTTTTACTTTGATTTTTATATATAGTTATTTTATCCGACACAAAAAATCTCCTCGATACAAATAGAACGTAATAGTAAGAAAGTTACAAGGTAATTATTTCAAAAGTTTTACCATTAATAATAACTTCTGTATATAACAGAATTGTACGTTAATATCGATACCCGATCCGATACGATGCAAACAAATGTAGCCAATAGGAATATAAGATTTTGATCCCGTTAGCGCTCAATAATAAGAAATGGTCCAATCCACTAAGGGAACGAGGGTTGACATGCAAAATGCCAAGGTGTAGGCCTTCAAAAGAAAATAGAGTATTTTATTTATACAAAATATATAATTTTTATTATAACTTTATCTTTACCCCTAAGTAATTTTCTTATTAGAACGGGAAACCTTTATCAGGAAACATGCCAATATATTTTTTGCCGAATAAGTAAATCCGTGTGCGACGCAAAAGTTGCACATGCAACACAAAATTTTAAAGCTTCAATCTTGGAGGTAGTCGCTGTCACGATCAGGCTCCTGGTAGGTGTAATCGTGACGTAGATATTCAACCAACGTCTAATGACGATATTTTACGGTTACTCAATCTCGTCGTAAATAGTATACTTCAGGATCGCCACGCAGTGCGTTTTCTTCTATCTTATAGATAGGCTCTCACTATTACTAAT